GCCTGGACAACCTGAAAAGAAGGCTGGACACATGTGAAGAGGCACTGCTGATATGACATGGACTGGCAACTCTACTGCCCAAAGGGTAGGACTAGGTAGGGACAATTGCAAGCTGGTGTGGTGGGGACACACCGGTGAGGGCCTAAGACAGACACCTTCAGAGCGAGGGCAAGGAGTGTAAAAGCTGTTGTACAGTACAGCACCCACACCATACATACATACATATACATGCTGGAGTGCATGTCTTCCCAGCATCTCGAGAGGCCTTTTTGGTGGCCAGCTAATACATACACATACACTGGGGGGATGGCTGCAGTCTGCTTCAGATCAGGCCTATATACTGCCAGCCATCATGAGCCATACCTCCTGTATGTCTGACCAGTACAGCGAGTACTTCCAGTGTAAACCCCTGTCCCACGCAGCCTGGCTTTGCGCATGTGATGAGCCACGAGCAATTCAATACGGTTGCGAGGAATTTAAATGTAGGACTAGAACTATCTAGAACAGAAGCCGCTAGTGTTCTTGATGTGAATGTAAATGTATCTGCCCTGTTACCACATAGCTGGTCTTGGGCTTTCTTCTCTGCCTATCTCAGCAGACTGCTAATGGTACTGCGGAGACAGGATGAGTCACTGGGATCTATGCAGTGTGGCCCCGGGCACCGATGCTTCCTAGCAGGGCTAGGTAATGCGCTGGTGTGAAGTTGGTTGGAGGTTGACACAGATGGGAGGGGGCTTTAGCTCAGTGGTAGAGCGCGCGACACATCGGCAGAGCAGAAGAGTCAAGCCAAACTTAGTTACCTACTTTCCTTTCCGTTTTCATGCGAAGACTACGTTACAAACAAGTACCTGCACGCAAGGAAAGGACGTCTTCGTGAAAGGGTAGGGCCGGGTGAGGGCACACTACCACGAAGCGGATCACCAAGGCCTACAGACCAACCGCTTCACGGCAGCACCCAAACGTAGCTACGAACAACCCGAATTAGCCAACACTGTCGCGTGCCGCGACACAAGAGCCACACTGGCTCGTACGCCATACGGCAAAGACACTCCGTATTCGCAGAAAACCTTAGTTTTCAACGCTTCACGTAGAAAACTGTCAGTTTTCATGCGAAGACTACGTTACAAACAAGTACCTGCACGCAAGGAAAGGACGTCTTCGTGAAAGGGTAGGGCCGGGTGAGGGCACACTACCACGAAACTTCAATAATCGCGGAGGGGGCGGCCGTGCCCTTAGCCACCCAACCCCGCACAAGGCTACAGCCACAAGGAACGTCAACAACACGCTTCCACGCTACGGGGCCGCTGCCCCACTCGGGGAACGACTTGGTCATGGATGTGGTCATGCGGGGGGTTTCCTGTCATAGATCTGGTCATGTTGCCTCATGACCACTCATGAGGCCTCATGACCGGTCATGTTACCGGTCATGAGGCAGAGTCATGGTCATGACAGTTGTCATGTTCCTTGTGCAGCATGACTGATCATGAATCGCCACTCATATGTGTAAATTCAGTCATGTTCCCAATGGTCATATGCTGGCTATGTGTTCATGTTTTGTTCCTTTCTAAAAAATGACAATTATATGCCATATGGACTCCGGAATCCCTTCTGAAATGCTGCATAGTATATTACCGCTATAACAATGTGCACAATGTACTATACAGCATCCCTGCCGGGATTCTGGAGTGCACTTGAATTACCTTCGTTTCAGCCACTTGCAGTGACTTGATATGCATTCAGGCGCGGCCGTAAACAAAGCCCTTAGGCTTAGCTGCACTTATCCAACGCAAAAGATCAGTATATGCCAGCTAGCAGGGCAACTTCCTTTTGGCCTGTTGCCAAGCCTTACTCGGTCAGCTCCCTTACAGGGTACCCTGTTGTTAATTTGAAGCCATATGTTACATACTTAAGGCATGTATTTAAGGTTTAATTAGCAAAGATTCTCTCCTGCTGTGTTCAAGCATGACAAGTTAAGTCACCAGCTCGCACAGTCCCACAGGCACAGCATTGTTGATGTAACTAGCTA